CTGGTGGACTCTGGCAGCAGGCACACCTGTAGGTCCTGCCATCTGGTCCACATAGAATCTCTAGCTGGGCTGACTGGTGGAGGACTTTCCCTGACAAAACCAATCTATAAAGACTGGGAAAGATGACTGCTTTCTTCAAATGTGCAAACACCAATGTGAAGATCAAGGAAACACATACCACCAAAGAAACAAAATAAAGCTCCAGTAACTGACCCTCCCCCAAAATGGAGATCTATGAATTGCCTGACAAAGAATCCAAAATAATCATCTTACAGGAGCTCAGCGAGCACAAGAGTACACAGATAGACAACTAAATGAAACCTGGAAAACAATACATGAACAAAATGAGAAGTTCAACGAAGAGATAGAACTTCATAAAAAAAGAACTGAACACATTCTAGAGCTGAAGAATACCAGCGACTGAACTGGAATTTTCAATAAAGAACTTTAATATCAGACTCAATCAAGCAGAAGAAAGAATCAGCAAACTCAAAGACATGGCATTTGAAATTATCCAGTTGAAGGAACAACAACAACAAAAAAAGAATGGAAAAGAATGAAGAAATCTTATAGGACTCATGGCATATCTTTAAGAGAACCAATATACACAATGTTGGAAGTCTCAGAAGCAAAAGAAAAAGAAAGGGGCAGGAAGCTTTTTAAAAGAATAATGGCTGAAAACTCCCCATTCATCAAGAGATGAATGAATAAAGAATGTGATACAATGGAGTATTGTTTAGCTTAAAAAAAAAAAAAAGAAGAAACCCTGCCATTTGCAACACCATGGATAAGTCTTGAGGGCGCTATCCTAAGTACAATAAATAGAGGACAATTACTCCATGATATTGTCAACATAAGGAATCTAAAATAGTCACTCACAGAAACAGAGAGTAGAATGGTGGTTACCAGGGGCTGGAGGGAGGGGGAAACAGGGAGTTATGAATCAAAGGGTACAAAGTTTTACTTATAAAAGATAAATAAGCCCTGACCGGTTTGGCTTAGTGGATGGAGCGTCAGCCTGCGGACTCAGGGGTCCTAGGTTAGATTCCGGTCAAGGGCATGTACCTTGGTTGCGGGCACATCCCCAGTGGGGAGTGTGCAGGAGGCAGCTGATTGATGTTTCTCTCTCATCGATGTTTCTAGCTCTCTATCCCTCTCCTTCCTCTCTGTAAAAAATTAATAAAATATATTTTTTTAAAAAAAAGATAAATAAGTCCTAGAGATCTACACTACAATTTAGAGCCTATTGTTAACAATATTGTGTTACATACTTAACATGTTGCTAAGAGGGTAGATCTTATATTAAGGGTTCTTATCGCATACACAAACAATAATAAAGAGGATGGGAGGCCCCTCCAGAATGCTCAGTGGATTGAGCGTTGTCCCATGCACCATGAGGTTGCTGGTTCGATTCTTGGTCAGGGCACATGCCCAGGTTGTGGGCTCGATCCCCAGTGGGGGGCGTGCAGGAAGCAGCCAGTCAATGTTTCTCTATCATCAATGTTTCTATCTTCTATTCCTCTTCCTTCCTCTCTCTCTTAAAAAAATCAATAAAAACATTTAAAAAAAAAGAGGATGGGAGAATTTTTAGAGGTGATGGGTATGTTTGTGGCATAGTTAGTGGTGATAATTTCATGGGTGTGTACTAATTCCTAAATGCATCAAGCAGTATGTATTAAATATGTATAGCTTCTTGTATGTCAATCATACCTCAATAAAATGTTTTGGGTTTTTTTTTTAATAGGAAAGATCAAATAGTTATCAGATTTAGTGGTTTGGTGTATTGGGACTTCTTAGAAATTTATGGAGGTATTTACCAGTATTGTATCTCTCTTTCTCTCTCTTTTTAAAAAAAAGTATATTTTATTGATTTTTTTACAGAGAGGAAGGGAGAAGCATACAGAGTTAGAAACATCGATGGGAGAGAAACATCAATCAGCCTCCTCCTGCACACCTCCTACTGGGGATGTGCCCACAACCAAGGTACATGCCCTTGACCAGAATCGAACCCAGGACCCTTCAGTTCGCAGGCCGATGCTCTATCCACTGAGCCAAACCGGTTTAGGGCAGTATTGTCTCTCTATACCAGTATTGTCATGAAGACCCAACTCTCTGGACTAGTAGGTGATACTAACTTTCCACTATGGTGTTCTTTCCCGCAACTCTATGCCAGCTCTCCAGGCCAAGTAGTGGCTAGTCTTTGGACTTTCTGGGAAGGGGGTAGTGGAAGGATGCCAGATGTTTGAGGTATTGCAGAAGTTGGCAGCAAGTTTTCAGTTTCACTCTTTGTCCACTTTCCCAGCTCCCTATCCCCGTCAGCTAAATGCTACAATTGCCTTGGCACCAGTGGAAGTCTTTGAGCTTTTTGACATTCTGAAGGATATAAAAGGTGATCTTTTTTCTGAGCCTAGTTTTTGACAGATGAATATGTCATGGAACAGGGGTCATATGAGGTACCAATAGACATAGCAGTGAACCTTAATATGATGCTGGGGTGAATCATGTATGGAATGCTTGGCCCATGCTTCTGTGGGGGGATATATAAACAGGAGCATGAGAAGTAGGGTGTTCTAAAAATAGTTCATCTAATAGTAACTGACTTGCCTAAAGGACAGCCGTCCTTCCACCTACTTTACACAGAAATTGTCATATACGTTCATGAGCATGAACTTGGCCTTCTAGGAGACAGCTGTTACAATTTCTAGACTTGTAGACTAGAGACCTGGTCAAGTTCCAAGTCTCTTATTTTAGTTGGAGTCTGGACACACTGTGAATTAAGATGTGGGAGAATGTCCATTATTCAGTGGCCTACTTTGCTGCCGTGTGATTGGTTAGTAGCCTCCCAAAAGAGATCCTTGCTTCATAGTGTTAACGTAAAAACCATTGAAACCTGTAAAGAATTTTTTTGAGTTTATTTGAGCCAAACTGTTAACATATGCTGGGAAGCAGAACCTCAACGAATTGAGATAATGCTCCGGAGAATGGCGGGGTTACATTTGTATTTATACATTTGCAATCAAAGGAGGGACATAGGTGGGTTACATGAAATTCATTGGTGATAGATTAAGGAGGAGGGATAAAGCAAAGCAGGGAAACCCCTGGGATTGGATAAAAAGTAAAATGATGGACACATTACTTAGGTGGGTGCAGGATCAATTAACATGATACTGAAGGAATTTGTGGTATCTGTCCTGGCGCCCAGCACATTTGGTTGTGCCTCAGGGGCTCCAGAAAAAGGGAAGTTACAAGTTACCCAGACATTTCAAGGGTGTGTTATCATAGATGCAAAAAGACAGATAGGCTCAGTTAAGGTAAAGGTTGACCTTGTCAGTGAAGATACTGGCCTAGGACGTAACTGCCCACCATAACTGCTTTTAGTTAAAGTTTAATTTCAGACCATCCTTTGTGGTTACTTTAGGTCTCTGAGTTTGCAAGACCGCCATGCAGGCCTCCCCTGAACTTGTCAGGTCAGCATGTGGCCCCTTTCGTTCACAATAGCCAGTGACGGCGGGCAAAACGCTGCAGTGTACAAAATGGGGCTATGACTCTAGTCTAGAGCATTTGCTAAACAGCTATTTAAAAAAAACAACAACAATAACAACAACAAAAAAACAATGTAAGTCATGCTTGCAGTGCATACTCCCATGCAGCTCTTACCTATCTAGCAGCTCATTATGCATTTCCAATTTCCTGGGCCAGCATAATCTGTTGACAGATCAAATAAAAATATGTACCAAACGAAATTTGTGTTTTTCCTCCTTCTTGTTTCCAGTTCTCTGAATGTAACCATAATCCTACTCACCTATCCCCCATATCCATATCCTTGACAAGTTGAGTTGACATCCTGCTTATTCTGTTTCTACTGAGTTTTCCCCCACTCGGGTCTCGGCTCCTATTGTCCTCAGCCTCCACTCCCTTTTGCTTGGGCCAGTGAATACCCTCCATTTTCCCTGTCTCTTCTTAACAATCTATTCCTAATTTTGTTGCTTAATTGCACCTCCCACCCCTAAAACCCAGTTTAGCATACTGGCTGAGTCTGAATTCTGGCTCTGATTTGCACTGTTAACCTTTAGTGATCAAGGACTTACGACTCTGGAGCCAAACCTCTTGATTTATGGTCTGCCTTTTAAGGACTTCTTTTCCTACCTCATTCTCACTTTGTGGTCTAGCCAAATACCTCCTACCATCTCTACCGCAGCTTTTAAAGGCCAGTTCACCTAACCACTTCGCTGAAATAATCTTCCTCTCCTAGGAACTGCCTTGGCATGGCTCCTATACTTCTCACCACCTGCTTTGTACAAATTAAATAAATAATTTTAAAAAAGAATTTCTCTTGGGAGAATACAAGTTTCTTGAGGGCAGGATATTAATTATATTCTTTTTTATATCTCCAGTAAGTCATGGTGTGATTTACTGAAGATATAAAACTGTAGTTGATCAAGAAATATAGGTGAATGACATCAATTTACAAAAATAAATCCAACTCCGAGGGTCTTCCCTTTAGACTGCATGTGTCCAACATCATCTGAAACAATAGGAAAATGGGTGAACATAAGTGTATGTAAATTAAATCTTTAAAAAAGCTGACTTAAAATATTTAAGGATCTCACAAAGTTTTTGTGTATGTGGATTACATGTATCGATATTTAGCATATTAGAAATTATAACAGGAAAATTTAAAATAGTTCTTTATCCATTTAAAAAAATAATAAATGCACTAAATGTTAACATTAACAATGTTAATAAATTCACTATTTATGTCTTATTCATCTGCCCGTTCTCCTTTGCCTGGCACAGCTCCCAGCAAGGAGAAGATGATGGACCCTTATTAGGAGAGCTAGCTCAGGCCCCGCGGAAACTGAGGGAACCCCCTCACCCCGCCCACCCGTCGACCGCCCGCGAATGCGGTGGCTCTCGCCCCTCGGCCCCGCCCCTCCAGACCCTCGGCCCCGCCCCTCCGCGCCCGGACGCGGGTGCCAGGGCGCAGGCGCAGGGCTCCCGGAGGCCGCGCTGAAGAGCGCGCCTGAGGCTGCCCCGCCCCCAGCTCTCACCGCGTGAGCCGGGAACCCGTCACCCCGGCTGCTTGGGTCGCGGTGGTAGGTCGTCGTCATGGCCTCTTCGTGGGATGAGCTGACCATTTCCTTTTCTCGCATGTCTATGTTCCCCTTTTTTGACATCGCCCACTACCTGGTATCCGTGATGGCGCTGAAGCGTCAGCCGGGTGAGTGCGGGGCGCCGCGGACCGGCCCCCTCAGGTGAGGACGGCCGAGCCGCCTCTGAGCCAGAGAGTCCTCTGGTCGAGCTGGAGGGGGGCCAAGAGCCGGCTCCACCGGCCTCTCCGGTACAGGCGGGGAAACTGAGGCCGGAGGAGCGAGCTGGGGTCCGCAGCCCGGGAAGGGCTCCCGGAACGGGTGCCTGGGATGGGGGCGCTGCGGCTCCCAGGGTTCGCGCGGTCTCCGCTGGTGCCACCGCTTCTTGCAAAGTGTTTAAAAGTCACCCGGGGGCCCAGCTCCGCGGAGCGCGTCTGACTGAGTGGCTTGGAGGAGGGACCGTTTCGGATCGCTTTCCTTTTAGGAAGGTGTATAAACACCCCAAAAGCTCCAGTCGGCACACCAGGCAGGCATGCCTCGCTTTATTGCGCTTTGCTTGATGGGGCGTGTTTTGTTTTGTTTTGTTTCGATTTACAGATCGAAGGCAGGACGCCCCCCCCCCCCCCCCCCCCCCCCGAGAAAAATCTTTCCCCACCGGGTTTGTTTAACTGTGCTTATTTCCC